TTCATATCTCTCACACACCCTCCTCCTCCATTGGTTCGATCTCACCGCCGCTGTTCGCTCCTGCCGCTGTCAATACTCTCGCCATTGCTTCTTCTCTGCCAGCCTTCATCCAAACACCTCCTCACCTCATCTCAACCTTACCTTACCCAACCTTGCTCCTCTACCTTACGGATACCAATTACATAGCATACGACGACGGGTACCTTACCTCATACTTTGGGTCCAGACATCGGTCTCCCTGTTCCCCTTGTACGATCCCAGGTCAACAACACGTCTTCTATCAACAAGGCATCAACAAGCAAGCATCAAGCAATTCGAGCAGCATTGACAGCACAGAGCCACAGTACAGGGCCTCGCCCATAGCCGCATCCTCTTTTCGACCTCGCTTGGTCGTCACAATCTCTACATCAACACACGTTTCCCCATTTTCAGTCCTTGTTCCTCATCCAACTGGGAATCTGTGCCCGAATCCGTCATTCAAACCCATCCAAGGTTCTCGACGAAGCGAAGACAGGCGAGATCAAAAGTTTCCACTGGACCACTGCAGCAACGTAACTCCCTGACTACCGAGCTTTCCTATCCGGTAGCTTCTACTCCACAACCTAGGAGTCAGTCACACACCTAGCACTGCAGTGACAGAGCAAGATTGAAAGAGGTCGAGGCCCGCCCCTATCTACCGCAGTACAGCAAAATACCCTCGTCCGCCACGCCAGCTCGGCCAATCTCGCTATCCAATCGTCGCCCCCGTTGCGCTGCAACCCTGATTCAACAGCCCCCTACCAGACCCAGACCGCAGACCCAGAGAGGAGTTCCTTCAACTCCCCAGCCCACGCAATCCGACTACCCTTACTGGCAGTCTGCCACTACGGAGCACCAACTGGATCTCCTGCTTAGGTTCCTGAACCTGGATCCCCCCCGACCCCCGAACTTTCAATTCTCTCCGGGCCGCCCTCTAATCGCTGCACTTTGTGGCTATCTGCCCGGTCCATTCACTCTCTTGCTGAGCCTGTGCCTGTGCCTGCACAACAACAAACACGCACACCTTCGGGCTGTCAATAATGACCCTCTTTCCACTCTACTCATGACAGCCATTTTTTTGCTACAAATCTGCTTCATCTCTGCTTGCTCACGCACTCTCTTATATGACCACCAGAGACACTTGAATTCCTACAAGGCTGTCGTTGCCAAAAGAACGAATAACGCTCACTCCTCCGCCGTCTGGAGACAGCGGCATACTCGGCGACCCATCACCGCCTCTCCCTCGCATTCTTCGCCTAAACGCCGTCGAGCATACACCACCGCCGCCGATCGCCAATCCTTGCACGAGGCGTCCACCGCGCACTTTGCTCGCGCTGAGATGCAGAGCACTCACGAGATCATACGCCGTCGTGCCTCTGTGGTTGAGCGTCCGCCGGCGGACCCCCCGGCCACCACGACCACCACGGCTTTTACACCACAACCTGCCGTCACCCCGAGATCTTCATATTTCAAGCCTTCAGAAGCCCAACTCGAGACTCTGATCGGAGAGATGGAGACCCCAGAGGCTGTGACGCCTCCTCCGCCTACTCCCTCAACCCAAGAACGTTTCTCGCGCGCGTCACGTTCAGAGTCGAACGCATCGCGTAACACGAACCGACTCTCACTCACCCTTCCTATTGCACCACCAACCAGCGATCCTTCTCGCCCAGCTTCCGTCGCGACGACATCATATCCCCCGACGCCTGTCGACAGCTCGACCATCACATCACCTTCAGACCCCAATGACTTCATCATTGCGATAGCAGCGCAAGAGCGACGTGTCTTGGAGATTCGCGAAGAACTGGCTCGCGCGGAGGGTGAACTGACGAGACTGAAGCAGCAGTGGACTATCCAAGGCGGTCAACGAAAGAGAGAGATTCGCAATGAGCCAATGCGTCCACTGGCGCCTCAATTTGAGCCATCCTTATTGGACGATGACGAGGCAGGCTTAAAGAGGAGTGTCGAACTGGATCGGAGGAAATCGCTTTTGAGAGATTTGCAGGGACAAACCGGACCCAGAGAATATAGACGAAGAGTCCTCCGTGGCGGGCACACGAGGACGCTATCGCTGCTGTCACCAACCAAGCCGGAGGGTTTTGCTGTGCATGAGGATACCGCCAGTCTGAAATCGCCAGAAATCCGGTCTCCGCCCATGCTTTCTCATGCTGCTCTTTCCAAGAGAGCATCCTGGCAGCCGCGCTCATACAACACAGCCGTTCCCCCTGTCGCAAAGCAAATGGCACAGGACTTTAAGCTAGGTCTGTGGAGCTTCGTGGAGGATATCAGACAAGCCACTGTCGGCGATGAGCCCATCAATGGTGGACGTTCAGGCTCGACGGACCCTCATGGCAGGAGATCGTATGCTGCAGACCAGGACACCATCAAGGCCAACAGCTCTTCTCGTACCAGGGTCCCGGTGAACTCTGCCTTTGACTTGCCGCCTATGGACACGCCTAGCAAGCCGTCGAAAGCGTTGCAAGAAAGACCGAACCCTAAGCCCGCGACCAAGTCCACAACGACCAAGGCCAAGCACTTCTCATGGACTCCGCTGACTTTCGACTCCTTTGATGATAACGACTGGTCTAACTGGGACTCCCCCCAGCCGTCCTCGGCCAAACCAGCACGCTGGAGTGGATCGACCGTTGGTGGAGCAGAGGACCTTGCGTCAATGGCCGAGACCAACGACGAGAATGTGACTCCACTGTAAGAGCCTCGCTAATGATGTTTTGCCACTCTCGAGATATACTAAGACATGTGTGTGAACAGTAAGAAGAAGTCGTCGATCACCATTGACACATCCGCTGCTCGGCCCGAGCCTCGACCTGAGTCAGCCCTACTATCTCCCGCTAGGCTGGAGGAGCTTCTGCCAACCGTCGTCAACAAGCTGTCGCCCGGCAATCTGAAGCGAACAGCCAACAACCTCATGGACGAATGGGAGAAGAGCCTCAAGGAGACTGACCAAGAGGAGCAGCTCATCGACTTCAAGGAGACCACGGCTTGAGCTACGTCTACGGGTCACAATCATCACGACGAAAACACACAGGAATCGGCATGCTAGCATTGCAACGAAAAAGCCGACGCTGCACATACACGACCTCATCGCATTGATTACAGTATAGATAAAAGTACAAAAAACTGGACCGAACTGCACAAAGCGGCCAGATGAGATGAGCGGACAGGTTTTCTCCGCTGAACATAGAATATCCACTGGAGGCCAGAGCAGAGCCTCGGGAGGGTTGTGGGGAGGAAGTGAGCAGCGATGATGCTGTTCAGATATCGGCAAGTCAAGAAGGACGTGCATGGATAATCAGAGCTGCCGTGAAAGGAGCTCATATCGACGTATGTCTGGGTGCGCCGTATGGCAGTCATTTCATGATGAATGACCTGTTGGATATTGGCAATGGCATAATGACGATACTAATGAATGTACGAACGTAAAGTTTTCGTGCTTTGGGATGGGATCAAAACATTGGCGTACGATACTGTCGGACCTTGTTGTTAAGAAACTCTCAGGCCTTGTCTACTTGCGACATGGTGACGATACGGGAGTTGCAGCTTCAGGAATGACTTGCTTAGACGTAGTTAGTTAGACTTAGTGTTAAATGTTTATGATTCGATGGTCAATCCGTTTAGTCCAAGTGATGATGGTGCCTCACCATGTAATACCTTATGTTGTAAATGACTTCACTTCAGAAGTCGTCCATTGCCTACCTATCTAACCATTGCAGTCTGTTTTTTGCATCTATAAAATGGCATCTCCTCTTGTGTGCTCTAGAGAAATAGGAACATGAGCTTGAAGAAGTATGTCAAGTTGTGCAATTGCGTACGCGGTGAACGAGTTCGCAAAGGTGATATCCAAGCAAGGGATGCCTGCGATAGGTGCCGTCTCGGGGCCAACGGTGCGGAGAACAAGCTGTGTCTTAGAAGTAGCTAGCTATCCTGGTCGTGGCAGTGCAGCTCCCTCAGGCTCGTAGCAACCCAAAGTGGCCGGTGGAACTTTGCTTGACGACTACTGGCCTGCCGCTCCGTGTTGAACCGAACTCGTGTTAAACCATTTTCCGAGAGCGAAAAACATACTATTATGGGCCATTTCAAGAACGCCACGGAAAGAGGATATACTCCCAAGCATTGTGTACGGCCAGAGACGTGACAAGAGATCCTGGATTATAAAGTGTATGCAAGTCGCATTCCATCCTCGGCTTTGGGTGTGGCCGTGACTGGTTGACTTGCTTGTTTATGGAAAGCAAGATGGCGCCGGTGACAGTTGGCCTCCAGTATCAACGCCAAATCCGCCGGCTGTCTCGTCGCCGATTGGCACTCCCCATCATGATGGAAAGATGATTGGCAATGTCGATGGAAACCGCTTATCTCTGGTAGTTTGGCTGCTCGAAAGGTTCTTTGAAAGTGAGGGCCCTCGAGCCCTGAGTACAAAAGCCGACGAAGCTAGGATGTGCAACGTTTGTTCTCGCATACTTATCTGATCATGGTTACTTGTCTGGAGGTCAAACGTCTCAAGCGCGTTACTCGGGTTCATTTCAATTCGACACGAAAAGCATCTGGTCTACATGTAAGGTCCGCGCTTGCCGTGGTGAAGAGCAGCGGTCTCAAAGCCTAAGGTAGCGAACAATTGGTAAAGTGTGCTGGCAGCGTTATCGACAACTCGGCAAAGGCCAATGTTCCTTACCTGAGTTGATGCTCAGATCAGCAAGGGAACAAGCCGAGAAGGCTATCGGGCCCTGGAGCAGGCCGAAGCTTCCCCCGATCTCGGCAGGTGGGGTGTGGGGTTGAGGGGAGGGTTCTCCAGGGCACTTAGCAGGGCGGGGCACTACTTACATTTGCCAGCGAAAGCAGGCCATTCCGGACGAATAACTCGTCCCCGACTTCGCTCAGCTATATATCTCGTCGAACTTTCTTCAGTTACCTCACATTCTCTTCCAATTACCCCTCCTACGATACCCCTCATTCATAAAAGTATTGCAAACATGGCGGAACACAACATTGTTGTCTTTGCGGGCGACCACTGCGGCCCAGAGGTGACTGACACCCCGGGGCTTTCCCACTCTTGGCTCTGATAGGAGAGAGGCTGACTTTAGTTATACAACAGGTCATTGCTGAGGCAATCAAGGTACGAGGCCGGTTATTGCGACTTGAATTGAGCTCGTCTGACGCAGGATACAGGTCATCAAGACAGTCGAGAAGCTGAGTCCGACTGCTGGCAAGTTCAATCTGCAGGACCACCTGCTTGGAGGGGTAAGTCATCCCCCGATGACGGATCACACGGGCCCAGAGAACATCCACGAGAGAAACTTAGTGCTAATCTCGGCGTTTCTCCCCAGTGCTCCATCGACCAGACCGGCTCCCCCCTCACCGACGAGGCCCTCGCTGCCGCCAAAGCCGCCGATGCCGTGCTTCTCGGCGCCATCGGTGGCCCCGAATGGGGCACCGGCGCCGTCCGCCCGGAGCAGGGTCTCCTGAAGCTGCGCAGTGAGATGTGCGCCTACGGCAACCTCCGTCCCTGCTTCTTCGCGTCCGACGCCCTCGTCGAGTCCTCCCCCCTGAAGGCGTCCGTCTGCCGCGGCACCGACATGATTATCGTTCGCGAGTTGACTTCGGGCCTGTATTTCGGAGAGCGAAAGGAGTACGATGGAACCAATGCGTTCGACACTACCGTTTACACGAAACCGGAGATTGAGCGTATCGCGCGCTTGGGCGGTATCCTGGCCAGGAAAAGGGGAGATTCGCGGGTTATCTCGCTCGACAAGGCAAACGTGCTGGCGACGAGCAGACTCTGGCGTACTGTCGTCGATGAGGTCTACAAGAACGAGTTCCCTGATCTCAAGGTTGAGCACCAGCTTATCGACAGCGCCGCCATGATCATGGTCAAGAACCCGACGCATCTGAATGGCGTCCTGTTGGCGCCTAACTTGGCTGGTGAGCAAGGCTCCTCGCCCACCTCGAAGGCGGTGTAGCTGATGAATTCATAGGCGATATCCTTAGCGACGAGGCGAGCGCCATCACTGGAAGCATAGGACTCCTCCCCAGCGCAAGTCTCTGCGGAGTGGGCACCGCAGTGCCTTCTATTTGCGAACCTATTCACGGTAAGCCTGAATTCTTTTTCAAGCCCTCATAGAGACATCAGTCGCTAACGCAGATAACAGGGAGCGCGCCGGACATTTCAGGCAAGGGTATTGTGGTATGTCAGGGCCCCATTTTGGGCGATTCCCATCCATTTTCTGCAATTACACAGCTGACATCGTTTCCAGAACCCCATTGGCACCATCCTTTCCGTGGCCATGATGTTCCGGTACTCTCTGAACCTCGGCCACGAGGCCAAGCTCGTCGAGGACGCGGTTCGCGTCGCCATCGATGCCGGGTTGAGAACCAAGGATATGGGCGGCAACACGAGCACCGCCGAGGCAGGAGATCTCATCGTTGCTGAGCTGTCCAAGATTCTCAAGGCGTGAAATGTCGCTTGCAGAAAGGAAAACTGAGAGGGAGGTTGACAAAGGAAACGGGAAAATCGGGGAGAGGGTGGAAGAAACTAAAGAAAATAGTAGCTGGAAAAGCGAAATGTGTCGAGAAAAGCAGTGGTTGACAGAACAGTGGTTGAGACGAGACGAGCTTACATCACTGTCGAGGAAATAAAAAAATGAAGTTTACTTGACTGCGCAGTTTGGCTGTATTGGCTGCCTTATGTATCACGGCTAACTAGGCCTACCACTATTACCGTAGCCGCAGCTACTATCACCAGTACTTGCAAAGATCTAGAAAGACGTTTGTACGAAGGGATCGTCCGACATTCCAGCATATTTCGATTTCAAGGTCCCCCATTTCACCTGACTAGCAATATTATAAGTATTTCGACAATAGCTTAGTTAAGATGGCGGCAGTACTGATGGTAGTAGCATCTCGTAAGCCTAGCTGGTAGCAGTACACGGTCAATTCAGCCAGACGACACAGTCAAATTAGTCGGGCTCGAAGTAGATGGGGCGCATTAAACAACAGATAAGCTAGGAGCAGCTCATTAAGTACAACAAAGGAATCCTTAACAAATGCATATGCTGTAAAGTGCTCTCGGGTTCACTATCAGTAATCGGGCTCCTGCAAGGTACCTCGCCTAGCGCCGGGCGCCTGGCCAATGCAGTCACGTGATGCTAACTGTCCAGTCAGGAGCTGGGCCGTCGTCTGCAACACATGGATTACAGTGACGTCGAAGCTCTGGAGATAGCTTCTGCTCAACCTCTAACAACACCTCGACGACATTCATCTAGCCCGCCCTTCCCCTCAACCGCCGACCCTCCTACATCCTCCATCGACTCTCCCTTTGTGACGACGCTACACGAGCCGAGCCCTGCTCGCGTCGAACCGCCCAGCATGCCTCCTGTAAGCACCCCGATCCCAACGCCCCGTTGTCGCCATCGCCGCGTCTGTTATGCGGCATATGCCAGCCCCACCGACCTCGATTGCTGGTTGCTGACCTCGGACGCCAACCCCTACAGAAGCAGAAGAAAGAAACCAAGGTCGAGCAGGAGGAGGATCTCGGACATGGTAAGCTCTTGATACTCTCTGATGCATCTTGATGATGCCATTGACTGACCGTATCGTGCAGGCAAGATCTTCTCCGTCTCAGGGTTCGTTTGAAGCTCCCCCGACTCGACTCGGCCCCTCAATCTGTCGCGCGCGACGACTAATCATGCAGATAGACCCGTCATTGTTGCCGAGGACATGATTGGTGTTGCTATGTACGAGTTGGTAGGTTGAGGTGCTCGTGAAACGTGTGGGATGGTGTCTAACATATTCGCAGGTTAGAGTCAGTCACGATAACCTAGTCGGTGAAGTCATTCGAATCAACGGCGACCAAGCAACCATCCAGGTCTACGAGGAGACTGGTACGTTTCCGACTCCCGATCTCATCCCTCTCCGAATCTAATGCAATGCGCAGCTGGTGTCACTGTCGGTGACCCCGTCTACCGCACCGGAAAGCCCCTCTCCGTCGAGCTCGGCCCCGGTCTGCTCAACGGTATTTACGATGGTATCCAAAGACCTCTCGAGAAGATCAGCGAAATGTCGAAGACCATTTACATTCCCCGCGGTATCGCCGTCCCTGCCCTCGACCGTAATAAGAAGTGGGATTTCGAACCCACCGCAAAGGTCGGCGACCACATTTCAGGCGGCGACGTCTGGGGTACCGTCAACGAGAACTCGTTCATTTCCGTCCACCGAATCTTGCTCCCTCCTCGCGCCCGCGGTACGATCACCAAGATCGCCAGCAAGGGACAATACACCGTCGCCGAGCCCCTGCTCGAGGTCGAGTTCGATGGAAAGAAGACCGAGTACCCCATGATGCAGACTTGGCCTGTGCGAGTTCCCCGCCCTACCACCGAGAAGCTCCAGGCGAACGAGCCCTTCATCGTCGGTCAGAGAGTGCTAGACGCCCTTTTCCCCAGTGTCCAGGGTGGTACCGTCGCCATTCCTGGTGCTTTCGGCTGTGGCAAGACTGTCATTAGTCAGTCTGTGTCCAAGTTCTCCAACTCCGATGTCATCGTCTATGTCGGCTGTGGTGAGCGCGGAAACGAGATGGCCGAAGTCTTGAAGGATTTCCCCGAGCTTACCATTGACGTTGACGGTCGCAAGGAGCCCATCATGAAGCGTACCACCCTCATCGCCAACACCTCCAACATGCCCGTCGCTGCTCGTGAGGCCTCTATTTACACCGGTATCACAGTCGCCGAGTACTTCCGTGACCAAGGTCTCGACGTTGCCATGATGGCTGACTCCTCCTCGCGTTGGGCTGAGGCTCTTCGTGAAATTTCTGGTCGTTTGGGAGAAATGCCTGCTGATCAAGGTTTCCCTGCCTACCTCGGTGCCAAGCTTGCCTCTTTCTACGAGCGTGCCGGTCGCGTCGTGTCTCTCGGTTCACCTGAGCGAAACGGCAGTGTCAGCATCGTCGGTGCCGTCAGCCCCCCTGGTGGTGATTTCTCCGATCCCGTCACTACTTCAACTCTCGGTATCGTACAGGTCTTCTGGGGTCTCGACAAGAAGCTCGCGCAGCGCAAGCACTTCCCCTCCATCAACACCTCGCTCAGTTACTCCAAGTACACCATGGTTCTCGACAAGTGGTATGAGAAGGATTACCCCGACTTTCCCCGTCTCCGTGACCGCATCAGACAGCTCTTGTCCGACTCTGAGGAGCTTGACCAGGTCGTGCAGCTGGTCGGAAAGAGTGCGCTGTCTGACCCCGACAAAATCACTCTGGATATCGCCGCGCTTCTGAAGGAAGATTTCCTGCAGCAAAACGGTTACTCAGACTATGACCAGTTCTGCCCGCTGTGGAAGACGGAGTGGATGATGAAGCTTATGGTTGGCTTCCACGACGAGGCACAAAAGGCCATTGCTCAAGGCCAGAGCTGGGCCAAGGTCCGTGAGGCCACCGGTGATTTGCAGGCCAAGCTGCGTCAACTCAAGTTCGAGGTTCCCTCCGAGGGCCAGGAGGCTATCGAGAAGAAGGTGAGTCTACGTGATAATACGACCGGTCGTTGTCTATTTGCTGACTCAATTGGAATAGTACGAGGATATTCAGCAGCAGATGCTGGACAAGTTTGCCTCTGTTGTTGACGAGTAATTGCGTTTAAGCATTGAGTATTGTCCTGTTTAGTCTGCATTCCTTGCACCGTGAGGGGATGTCTCTGGTTTCAATAGATAAGTCTAGGGCGAAGACGCATCATGCATGGTAGTTCCTTGTTTCGTAGTCTCGGCTAGTATATCCTATCTGTAAATGAACGTTACTATAGCCGAAGTGCGCTTTACGGTTGGAAGTGAGACCGGCATACCGCGTGGGTGAAGATGTATATCGAGGCATTTGGAGGTGCCTGGTCAGCTACGTCCAACTCTACAATAACAACAGAGCTCTGTGCTTGAAGCCCTGGAGCTCATCTTTACCGTTAGTCTACCGGGCGATATCGCCGTACCCGATGCTGTCTAGGAAACAGGCCGACTCATACATACGCACATTTCTTAAGGACGTAGGCTAGATAGCCAGACAGCATGATCGAATTAGGTTCGAATGATTTGGCTGCATGAGTACACAAAGCACCTGCGCAAGTAAGATTACGAACTTTCCCATCTCATCGTCCCAAATCTCTGTCTATATCTACGACATTGGTAAAGGTGGATCTGGTGACTGCTCCTGCCTTTCGGATGAATACTACACGGACAAGAGAGAAAGCCCATATAGGTCCCAACAGTCCCATTCCTGTCACCAGCCAGCAGGCGCCCGTCTAGGTCGACGGGTCAGGTCAAACTGGCTGGGTGGTGGAGTGGTTTACGGTCAACAATCAAATTACGCCCATAGCCTACTCGACGACAGGCTCCGAGTTCGAGTTCGATTCCCAGCAAGTGCACCAAGAGATGTAGCCACACCGGTGGTGAACTCTTTTTTTCTTTTTCCCTGCTGAATATTCATACGCACATTAGACTGTTTACATTGACCCACGAAAATTTAATCCCCCCTTTCATGATTTACTCATCTCTTCCTGGAGCCATGCTGGGATCGCAGGCGGATGCTCCCAGCCGTCGAGGTAGCTCTGCCTTGAGACGCCTTCACTACTCGGCTTGGCGTAGATGCCCGTAACGTACCAAACCGTCTCGCCCTTCTTGATGGTGTGCTGGAGCGTCGGGATGGTGGTGCGGCTCTCGACGAGGTTGGAGTTGGGGTCGGCGTTGACGAGGTTCGCCGTCCGCTCGATGCGTTCGCCTTCCAGGGCTTTTATGCCCACGGCGCCCTTGGACACGGCAAAGGAACCGTCTTGGCCTCTTGCGAGCCCTTCGGGCGTGTTTGTGTCGTAGTTGCCAATGATTTTGGGAGATGTGCCCTCGCCCTTGGCTACGTCGTAGAGGTCGAGGTACCGCCCGTCTGTCGAGTTCTCGTTGGCAATGGCAAAGGAGCCGTCGGCGGTCATGACGTCGCGGCCGGCTTTGATGTGGTGGATGCGCAGGTGCCAGTTGGGTGTGGCGTCGGCAGGGGGCACGAGGATGGTCTTGATCTCGACGTCAGAGAAGGGCTTCCACACGGAGACGAGGACCGGCCCGCTGCCGTCTCTGGACTCGATGCCGGCGTACTGTGAGAGCCGGCGCGTCTTCCAGTACTCGCCGCCGTCGTCCGAGAGGCCGAGCTGTGAGGCGAGGGCGTACTGCTCGAGGGAGAAGAGGCCCGGGGGTACGGAGTAGCCGTAGGCGCTTGAGTAGGCGAAGGCGCCGTATTTGGCGTGGGTGCCTTTCATCGGGTAGCTGCAGGCCTGGCCGGAGGAGAGGAGCATGCAGTGTCCGCCAATGTTGCTCATAATGTGGCCTGGCTGGGAGAGGGGCTTGAGCTTGGGGATCACATCCCAGGCTTGTTCTTCCTTTGATGTCCAGAAGGGGTGGTCTTCGGGGACTGCGAGGCAGATGAAGGCTAGGCAGGCCCAGTACTGGCAGGGGATATCAGTCGGCTATAAACTTGTAAAGGTGGTTTATACAGGCGCAAAAACTCACAGGACTTCCGGGACTGTTGTAGTTCTCGGCCATGTACATGTTTGGGTACGAGTACCCAACCGTCAACGTCCCGCTCGGGCTCCACATGTCGTGCTGCGTCTGCCACCAGCGCAGGTGACGCATCACAATGCCCTTGACCATACCCCACGTCAGGGGCTTCGGCAGCTCGACGCCGGCGTACGCGAGGGCGCCCCAGAACGAGACCATGGCGAAGCGGTAGCCGACGCTGCGGCCAAAGGGGATGGCGCGCCCTTGTTCGTCAAAATAGTGCGCGAGGTCGAGGGCGACCAGCTGCGCCCTCTTGCGGAACTCAGCGGCGCGCTCGGGCTCGTCGTCGCCGGCGATCTTGGCGTAGAGGAGCTGGAGGAACTGGATGGCGAAGCTGGAGGAGTAGTAGTCCATCTGGTGGATGCCCTCCGGCCCGTCGTTGGACCAGCCGCCGGCGCGGTAAAAGGTGTCGAGGTGCTTGATGTCTGCGTCGAGGCGCGCCTGTGAGAATTTACCGCCGTTCTTCTTGAGACCTAGGTTGGCGAAGACGCGGAACCAGAGCCAGTTTGTGTTCGGCATGCTTTTAGAGAGGGTGTAAGTGTTAGTGGTGTAATTTTGAACGGGGATATGACTGCATATTTACTTCTTCTCGTTGATTGAGTTGCCTAGCCAGTTCTCGACATTTACACGCTCCTTTTCGGATAGACTTTCCCAGATCGTTGGTGCTACGGCGAGAGTGAAGCCTATCATATCTAGTCAGCCTCTGCGAAGTGGCCGGCATATTCACTCGTGCAAGGTAAATCAAACATACCAAAAGGGCACATCTCAACCATGCGCTGGTCATTATCCCGGGGAAACCCCCAGTACTCTGGGTTCTCGGGGTCGGTACCAGCTTTGATGCCCTGGATCCACCACTCGGTGCCGCGATACTCTCCCCCGCCGGCCAGGAGGGCCGCGAGGCCCCAGATGGGGCGGAGGATGCCCTCGACCTCAGAGGCGGCCTGGTCGAAGCGGACGGCGGTGGCGCCGGGGACCCTGACGCGTGCTTTCTGGGGAGAGAAGAAGGGCTCGAGGGGGTCGAGGAGGGTACGGAGGAGCTCTTGGACGGAGGACCTGTCTGTGAGGTTTACTTTGGAGAAGGGGTGGGCGCCATTGTAGCCCAGCACGAGGCCGGTTTTGGGGTCCTCCATGACGAGCTTGAGGTGTGATTATCGATTAAGAATGAGGGACACCTTGTGAGAGAGAGAGAGAGCAAGGAGAACGAGATGAGAACGTCAGGTAAGAGTAGAGGAAAGCGTTCGGAATAATGAGTAGCTATGTACGCGGGGGAGCATCGAGGTCATAACCCGGCATCCCACGCAACGAGCCTCGCGTTAGAATTACTCCGGCCAGCATAAATACACGAGCAGTCGGGCGACTTTCGCCGTGCCGCGTAGACGCAGAACCATCGGGTCTAGCTTTGCGGGATGGTAAGATGGTGGGGTCGACTTCAGTCTTCGGGGGGAGCTCTGTCCAATGTTCTTCTTCTCTCCCCTTCAAGATCGTCAAAGCAGGTTGTTGCTTGGGGGTTCCTCCCCGCTCAATGTTTGGGGTTCGGTGGGGGTGGAGCGTGAGGGGGAGGGGCTGCTACGACAAAGTACGGATACCCTCGTATGAATGAGTGCTACTAACGGCGATGCGGAGGAGGGGAAGGGTGACCTGTATCCGTGTTCGCGGCTAAATGCGAAATGGAAGACAACCTGCAGCACCGGCAACCATGCCGGCCGTTCAGCCTTAATGCAATGGGGGCTGCTCTACTGCAGGTTAGATAGTCTTGGAGATTCATGGTGCAGAGACCGGTGATGCATGTGCTGTCACCTAGGTGAAGAATATGCCAAATCGTATGGTCCATGGAGACCAAATTTCTCCGGATGAAGGGCTCGCCGTATTTCCTGCTGTAGCTCGTGACTGCGGTGTTTGCATCCGTCATTAGGCCTGACTGAGGACAGGGCATCACAGTTATTGTTCTGCAGCTGTGTAATTGGCTACCATCAAGTACAAGTTAGACCCCAGAAAGTTTCATCCATTGGAAGGGTGGCCGAGTTGGTTATGGCGCCAGGTTAAGGTCAGCTTAACATCTGTTTCCTGGTGGGGCAACCCGCGCGAGTTCGAGTCTCGTCCCTTTCATTTTTCGATTTTTTGACATTTGATACGATACCCTTTTGCTAAAGTGAAGGTATTTGATCATTTTATGCCCCTTGCACTGCATCTCGCTGTTTTTTTTTTAACTCAGTCGAAGCTGGTGTCGGGGAGTTCGGGGAAGGTTCATATGCTGAGGTAAGTCGTAGATGCCTTCCCACCTTTAACCAAAGTTCCGCAGTTCTACGTTCTGCGCGTTGAGTTTCATTGACCTTGATGACTTTGGAATACTTGACCTACATATCCGTTTCTCTATGTAGAATTTGATAAGGCGTTTGTTCTCCCTGCCATTGCTTGAACTTTGGCTGGTTTACTGTGTGATTCTTCCCGTGTATAAGCCCTCAAGATCTCGTTTATGGCAGCCAAGTACGAGACAGGGATGCCTCTTGAGAAAGTGCCCAGGACGTCGATGCATCTCGCTCAGCACACGCTGGTGGTGAAGAAGAAGTAAAGCTGATACTAAAAGGCTATGTCTCTAGCGAAGAGAAGCCGGTCAACAAGCCACTATCCTACATCCTTCTTTAGCAACCCCATTGTATTCTCATCTGAATGATCCGCAGACGAAAGCCAGAGGTAGATAGTGGTGTAGCTAGGCTGTATCATCGCGTGTAGGTGTAGATATACCAGGCGGGCCCAAAAAGCATATTCAGTATTTCGGCAAAGAAGCCACTGCCGAATAGGAGATGTGGGCCGCTGATATTGAGTCAATTCAAGCCTGGAGAAATCATGTCAAGACAGAAGAGAGCAATCGTATATATACACCTTTCTAACGGTAACGACAGAAAGACAAGAGGCAATAGTGGGAAGGCGCGGACCACAGAGTCTCACGAGGACACTCGACTATCCAAGTCACTTACCTAGAGTAGGCACTCACACGTTACCTGAGGTAACTCATAGCTTCTAGCTGGAGCATATTAAGAAGGAGTA